TTCAATTTGATGGTCTCTCCCTGTGACCAATTCTTTTATTTTGTGTATATTGTTAAAATTAAATTACATGAGAATCTTGGCTTTAAAATAAGTTTTAAAAGTGCATTTGGAATTTTAATTATAAAATTTGACTTTTAAGTGACCACTGCCAGTGGACTTGAACCCCTCTGTTCAAATACGAGAACTTAATCTCACTGAAATCGAGATAAGGTTATCCATGTTATCAGTTTTAGGGGCACTTGTTTCACATTGCCACATGTTTCCTCACATACACCAAAGTAATTTTAAAATGATAGTCAAGATTTGTAGACAGTATCTTGATTGAGAAAGCTGCAATGCTCTGAAAAGACTCACAAATTACAAGAGCTGGCCAGACTCATGGTTTGGTGGGGCTGAATTCAGGGCTGGGAAAAATGCAGGATCAGAAAGGAACCATGGCCAAATCCCTTCAAGACTGTCATGCCAAAGCAAGCCAGTGTACAGTTGGCTGAAGGTAGTAGTCCTGCTGGAGAAAAAAGAATCTCTTTCCCCAACTAATATGTCCCTTGTGTCAACCTAGAGTTCCTTGCTAGGAAAACCTGCACTCCTGCAGTGTGTGCTGCCTCAGTTCCACAGAGCAATAGTGCCTATTCCAGCACTGACATTTTGCCGAGAATGTAATCCCCAAGGAATGTATTTCATTATCACACTATTGTCTTTAAAAAAAAAAAAAAAAGCTCCAAAGAATCAGCATGGACTTTTTTTTTCCCAATGTGATTTTCATTAGTAATTTATTCAGATGCCAGCATGCAAACTATGCAAAGAGCAAATCTCTTCCTCTAACTGTAAATATTTACAGATCATATTAAATGGTATTTAGTACTCTGCAAACATATTGTCAACAGTTCTATCCAGATTCTTCCCTAATTACAGCCTGAGAGTTGGCACAGGCATGTCCTCCATGAAAAGATGGTTATCAGAAAAAATAATAGCAGGCTAAATAGGTTCCTGGCTTAATTAAGACCGGAGTTTATACCAGAGGTGAATCTGGCCCACACTGAGTTAAAACTCTGTTGTAGCAGCTTGTACATACCACACACAGAGCTGGAAAGATGATGCTTCCCCGGGGGGACAGCTTTCCCAAGCAGGCTGGGAACCTTTCTTGGGCCCAAAAGGGCCACTACAATGCAGGGCAGAGAGTTTCAAACTTTCACGTGTTCTAAGGGGTGTAGTTCCACCTTTTCTTAGACATAATAGGAGATGTCTGACTATTCTTTAATTTGCATCAACTGGCTAAGTTTATTTGAATAGTCCAGAAGAGCAAATATTCCCCATCCAAATCACCATCTGTTCTTAAAACAGAAATGCGTTAATTCTTAAACACAGACCTGCCTTTTGGTCTCCAGCTCAGACTGCAAAATCCCTGAATGGGTTAATGTCTGGGACAGAGCTTGATTATATTGAAGCCATTTCTGTTTAAACTAATGTCCTAAAATCTCCCTTCCTGTACTTCCAGCCCAATCCCCGTTATAGCATTTCATTATACCCCATAACGTCTGCTGTCCTCACAATCTGGAATAAATACAAACCAACTGAAAGCTCAGTGGTGACTTATCCCTCATTTATATTCTAGAAAAACCTGCTATTGCAAGCATGCCTTAGCACCCCGGCTTTTCACATGAGGCATGTAAAGTTGCAAAGATCTCTAAAGACTTCAAAATAATGTCCTCCGTGTGTCTCAAACAAAACAGCCGGACTGACTGACATTCTCCATGCGTGGTACAGAGACAGGTGGGCAAGGGCACATTCATTACATCCCATTATCTTTGATTGCATGATCTCAGCTTTTTTTCAGTGCCTGTATTTTCCCATTCCACATCTGGACTTTTCCATGCGCAGTTTTTTTCCTCTGTTTTTCCCAGAGATGTGCTTGTTTTTCACTACATGAACCCTCAAGGCCATGCGCCCTCCTGCTTTGTTCAACAGCTTCACATTATTTCCTCCATCACTGTGCTTGGTCCTGCCAGATAATCTGTTCTACAGCAGACAGTGCCCCTCCCCCCTTCAACTGTCTCTTCTAATTCTCTTAAATTGCAGAGCTTCCTTCTCCCTTCCTCCTCCTCTTGAAAGGAGGGGAGGGAAGATTTCAATAGATGTCAGTATCCTACATGAATGATGGAATGATATATCTATACAATGTATACAGACAGAGATGCTTTAAATGGAGTACTCAATGTAGAATGCCGGCTAGCTCTGCATTTTGTCTATTTTTAATTAACTGATGAACCAGGGTTTCAACTCTTCCGCCTCCTCCTTTGCTCATTTTGAAAGCAAATCTGTGTGTTCTAAAATTACACTGGGATGTGCGAATGATTTCAGCATCACTTTCATCTGTGGCCAGATTAGCAGTAGCAGACAAATCCATAGAAGAGTTGAAGTAATAAGGGTTCTTTCTTCACCTGTTCAATGCCACAGTCACATCTCACAATCTGAACTGTGCCTGTGTGTGCACAAGGCTAGTTTCTGCACCTTTTGTAGGATGACTCTTCTTTCATAGAATTATAGAATGGTTTGGGTTGGCAGGGACTGTAAAGATCATCTAGTTCCAAATCCCCTGCCCCGGACAGGGACACCTTTCACTAGACCAGGTTGCTTAGAGCGCATTTCAACCTGGCCTTGAACACCTACAGGGATGGGGTATCCATAACTTCTCTGGGCAACCTGTTCTAATGCCTCACCACCCTCACAGCAAAGAATTTCTTCCTAATGTCTAATCTAAATCTCTCTCTTCTTTGGGCATTCTGGAAATAACCCAGAGGAGCTGAATTAAGGAGATAGTGTGCTTGCTCTAAAATGGGCACCCATGGTTGATTGGAAGTCCTGCTGCCATTTTAACGAGCCAGCTCCACACTTCAGAGTGCAGCTCGGACATGTATATTATGTATGCGTCTGTATATACAGGAACATTACAGGGTATATAAAAGCTTCAAAGCTCCACTGCTGCTAGGATGTGCCCCAAACAGCTGTTGGCTGCTGATGTGCACACTTTTGGCATAGGCAGCAGCACTAAAAATAGCGAAACAACAAGGAGCTGATTTCTGGTATTTGATTCAACATTTAATTCCGAACATGTTGTATTGTGTTTCTGTAGCCAGGTTTTGGTATCAGGGGCCTACAGGGGTGGCTTCTGTGAGAAGCTGCTAGAAGCTTCCCCCATGTCTGGTGGAGCCAATGCCAGCTGGCTCCAGGATGGACCCACCGCTGGCCAAGTCTGAGCCAGGACTAGGAATGATAGTAACATATTAATGATCATAACATATTAAGAAGGAAAAAAAGTTGTTGTGCAGATGAAAATTGCAACCAGAGAAGAGCGGAGTGAGAACATGTGAACAACTGCACAGACACAAACATCAGTGGAGAAAGAGGCGTAGGAAGTGCTCCAGAGCACTGGAGCAGAGGTTCCCCTGCAGCCCATGGTACAGACCACGGTGAGGCAGCTGTGACCCTGCAGCCCATGGAGGTGAAGGGGGATGCAGAGATCCACCTGCAGCCTATGGAGGAGACCCAAGCTGGATCAAGTGGATGCCCGAAAGAGGCTGTGACCCCATGAGAGGCCCATGCTGGAGCAGGGTCCTGGCAGGGACCTGCAGACCCATGGGGAGAGGAGCCCATGCTGGAGCAGGTTTTCCTGGTAGGACCCATGGCCCTGGGGGGGACCCACACTGAAGCAGCCTGTGCTGAAGGACTGCACTCCATGGAAAAGTGACCCGTGTTGCAGCAGTTTGTGCAGAACTGTTGCCCGTGGGGTGGACTTATGCTGGAGAGGCTCGTGAAGGACTGTCTCCCACGGGAAGGACCCCAAAGGGAGCAGGGGAAGGACTCCTCCCTCTGAGCAGAAAACAACCTGTGATGAACCGACTGTAACCCCCATTCCCTGTCCCCATGCGCCAGTTGGTAGAATTTGGAAGGAGGGAGGGGTGGGGGAAGGTGTTTTTAAGATTTATTTTTCTTCTCATTCTCCTGCTCTGATTCTGTTACTAATAAATTTAATTAACATCCCCACTTTGAGTCTGTTTTTCCCAAGATGGTGATTGGTAAGTGATATCTGCCGGTCCTTATCTCAACTCATGAACCCTTCGTTACATTTTCTCTCCTCTGTCCAGTTGCTGAGGGGAGTGTGAGAGCGGCTTTAGTGGATACCTGGCGTCCAGCCAGGGTCAACCCGCTACATCAGTGGACTGCCATCAGGAGACTTGCACAGAGTATGAGTTATATGAGAACATTAATTCCTAGATTATGGTGGAATATATGTTTTTCACGGTCCAGGGTAGCAAGAAGCTGTTATCCTGTACATTTTCCTAACTTTTGTTCCTGCTTGGTGGTGATTATGATCATAGAATGGCCTGGGTTGGAAGGGACCTTAGGGATCACCCCGTTCCAACCCCCCTGCCATGGGCAGGGACACTTTCCACTAGACCAGGTTGCTCAGAGCTCCATCTACCCTGGCCTCGAAAACACGGGCAAAACGCGTTGGTAGTGAAGGGAGCTTTGAAAAAGCCACTCCTACTGCTGTTCCACAACTCGCAGGGGGTGACGCCGGAGTTCGCGCTATGAAACACCCAGGAGGAGGAGGAGCAGAATACCCTCCTGCGAGCGCAGCTTGTCACTGCTGTATCCTAGACCGAACTCCTAAAACCCCACGAACCCTAAGCTGTGGAGCACGCTCAGGGTAATTTAAAAATAACAACAGCAAGGTAATTCCTACACCACCTCACACAGTGACAGCACCGCTCCCTGAGGGGCCGGCGCACGCGTCACTTCCGCGGGCGGTCCCACCCTCTGCCCCCGGCGCCTTCCCGGGGCCTTTCCGGGGCGAGACGCGAGGGGCGGGGCAGCGCGAAGGAGGCGGGGCCATGGCGGTAGGGGGCGGGGCACTGGGAGAGCAGGCCAATGGGGGGTGGAGGGGCGTGTCCGGGGCGTGGCTTGGCTGTGGCATGTGGCGGGGCCGGGGTCTGCAGGGGTCATTCCCATCCTTGCTATTCCCTGCCTTTCCCTGCCCGCGGGGCCGCGCGGGGTGAGCGCCTCTCCTGCTCCGCGGCCGCGTCCTCCGCCACGTCGTGAGTTGCGGGCGGGCGGTGTCTCGTCCTGGGCCTGGGGGAGCGCGGGCGGGAGGGACGCGGTGCGGGGCGAGCGGCGGTGCCGGGGGTGTCCGGGGGGCCGCGGAGCGGGGGCGGGTTGGGCGGCGAGTAGCCGCGGCCCAGGGGCGAGCAGGAGCCTCGCAGGCGCTCCCACGAACTGCCACAGAAGTTGGAAGTAAATGTGTCACAGGAGTTGCGAATAAATTTTCCGATAAGTTGCATTTTCCCCCGTAGCAGCGGCGGGAGTGATGGCTTTGCTCTCCTGCGGCGTGTGGATGCTTGTAGATGATTTTGTTCCTGGGGAGGTGGGAGCCGGGAAAACTGGGTTTCCTTGTGGGGAAGAGAGGTGATTGACTCAGCAATCACCAAACTCGCTGCCTGAGAGTAACATTTTTAGGCCCTGTGGACCACCTCAAAGGTACGGTGTCCTTAGGAGACGCCACCCTTATGCGTGGCATCACTGATATGTAAATATACCGTATGTCTGTATAAGTAAGGTTGAGTGTGTACAGTTGGGATTACCCTTGAAAGCAGCATCCTGCTTCGTGTGGTATCGCACTGAAATCTTTCGCCTCTTTTCCTACCTTAAGTAAAGGTTTTCAGAAGGTTTACCTGTACCCTAGGCAATGTTAGCAAGGTGTCAGCTGGAATCCAGTAAATGGTAGGAAGAATAAATACTGTTCTTTGACCGAGCTCTCAAATACAGCATCCTGTGGGGAAATCCTATTGCAGTGGATCTTCTTCTGATGGATTCAGCAAATCCTTTCACTTTCCCCTCTGTCTCCTAATCTTTGTTTTTTAGGATTGGCAAAGAAAACTCATGTTACAGGATCCTGTCAAGTGAAGTACCTTGATGTCCTGCATGTTAGCTGACTGAATCTCTGCCAGGCTTGGTCATGCAACACCACTCCTGTTTCCTGATAAAGTGAGTTAGCTGCCTGCTTACCAGAGGAACAAACCCAAGAAATACTAATCCTTTGCACCTTAAGCTAAATTGCAGTGCAGCCTTGATGAGTGAGGTAAACTCGCTGATAGTGAGCATTTGGTGCCCTTTAGACCTCAGAGGGTTTGTGACTGAACAGTAGCTTTGAAAACTAGGCAATGTGTGTTGATTCAGTGTTTCTCTCTCTGAAGTGCATGTATTTTTGTATTAATCCAAACTATCTACCATAATCAACCACTACTATATAGATTAATACAGTCTGTTGCATGGTAATGGAAAGTTTGGAAGGAATCTATCCATTTTTATTAGCTTTCATGTCTGTAGTAGATTAGAGAATGTGCTGTCCGTTTTTGCTGCTTGGTTCTAGGTTTCATATATATATATATATATATATATCATGTATGTATACACACATGTATTGTTCTAGTACTTTTCTGGGAGAAATTCCAGGCTACATGCCTCTTAACATATTGGTGAGGACATCTTTATTTTTTTGTTTTAATTGCAAATTCCCTGCTGGATTTATAAACCCATCTGCCAGAAAACAGACTTTGCATCTGGTTATCTGCTATTGAAATTCTAATTGGCACATCCATACAACCTGAAGCCTCTGCCTTCTAAGGAAAGTCTCCTGGCACAGACTTTTTGAAGGCTCTGGGAGTAATTTGCAAAAAGAATTTCCAGCTGTGGTGATGAAAAACATCGATGCTGAATGCCTGATAATGTATCTAAAATGTCGGGATGCATACCTTGGATTACAGGGTTAGCTAATGTAACTACTTAGAAACATACTAGCAGACTTTTTCAGTTGTGTGTTACTGACTAAATTTTCAAGGGAAAATATTGCAGCGACATTAAGGAATGGAGATGTTCGTTTAAAGCAGTGCATGTTGAAAATGTCCAAAACTTTGCTTGAAGGAAGTGTGAAGAATTGATTTGTTTGGGTAAAGTTTCTTGCCTAGTATACAGTTCTGCTGATGTTTCCCCATGCTCTGACGCATAGTTAGCTGAGTATGTGCTCTGTGTGTCATCATCCACACTTGGACACAGTTTTATAAACTGAAAGAGCCATTGAGCAAGTCCAGCTAGAGTTTATGCCAGCATATTTGCAGTGAACATTTCTAGGGGAACCTAGATGTAGGAGGAAAGAACTTGCTGCTCTGCTGTGTTCCCACGAACCAGGGTACTGTAGTGTCTGTTTCATCCTGGCCGCTGTGCGTGTTCCGAGTGATGCTGGGCTTATGGCTCAGAGCAGTGGTGGGGATGGCTGGGTGTCATGCACATGCATCTCCATATGGAGATGTGCATTGTCTGCGTGTGAGTGCTGAACAGCCAGGCTCAAATCCATCTGCTCTGACCGGTTTCTTCTCTCATCCCTGGATGCCACATATAAGCATGTTCAGACATTGCTAATGCAGTCGTTTTAGATTTATCCTTGCCTTTTAATTGTTGCTTTGTGTTTGATACAAACTTCTAATACCAAAAGCAATTATGCACTGGGAAAGCTGGAGGAAAAAGCAGTCAATTCACTGACACTTGCATATAGATCCTCAGCTGCTGTGCGTTGCTACAACTCCTTTGCAGAGCAATGACAATCCACACCAGCTGGCCATTTTCCCTTTTAAGTGTTTAAATTGGGATAGGATGCCTTTCTTAAGGAGATGTTTGTCCCTATGTACACAGCTGGTACAAAGTCCATTCGTGTGGTAGATGAGATACCCTTCCCACCCCTTGTTAACACAGTAATTGTTGGATGAACCTCTATGGTTTATGCTGCACCAGGAACCAGACTAGGTGATCATTGTGGCTTTTTTCCCTCCTACCCTTAAAAGGACTGTGAGGGCAATATCCCTGCTGTGAGTGCTGTTGCTGGATGCCATCTGACACTGTGTGCTCTGGCTCATCAGGGTTGCTTCCCTTTCCAACTTCCAGCCTGTTCTGTAGGTCTAATCCTTTGTCATACCCCACCTGTCAATGATACCCAGCCTGCTTGGGTGTGGAAGGGCTGTTGACCCAGAGGGCTGTTGACCTTGTTGACTGGGAAGCCAAGAAGTCCTGAGAGGTAGCAAGGATTTAACACATTCGTTCCTCCAGTAATTTTTGGTTCCCTTTCTACATCTTAGACTTGGAGCAGTCAGTGGGGCTTGTGAATTGATAGGTGTGGTATTAGTATGCTGCTGGCACTGCAGGGACAGTAATAATGCTGAAAATTGGTGCAGGCAGGACATGGTTGCACACTTTGGAAACGTTGTTCACAGCTCCTTCAGCTTTTGACTGCTGGCAATCCAAGTCAGTCAATGTGCAGGTAAGGTGCCCAAGGTGCCTGTGGTACAGCAATTCGTTCAGGAAAGGACAACTTATCTCCAGCATGGTATGGGGACCCCCTTCTTGAAGGAATGTTTGCATGGACATTGCTGCATGTTCCTGTGAACAACTTATCCAACAAAAGCAAGTGGCAAGAACTGCAGAAGTGGGTTTTAAAGCTCAGTGGAACCACAGGATTGCCTTGCTAGTGTGTAGAGTAGCATTTAGCTGAGGGCTCTGCTTTGCTGTTACTGTGATTTCACTGGAATGAGGTTTCCTTAGGGCAATTTTGAATGTCCATCAGCATAGGTGCAAAACTTCTGATGGTCTTCTGTTGCCTTTGCTGGCTTTATTTTTCTTTGCTGTTCTGGGGCATGGCCTCAAGGGCTGGGTTGGGTTTCAGTGCTGAAAGGTGGGCATGCTACTGCACTGATACCAAGCTGGTGCTGTGTAGCGTTTGTCAAGCAAAATGGGACTGAAACACTGTCCCCAGTGGCTGCAATTGCCACGGTGGGAAAGCTGGTCTTTAAATGCACTTGGCAGAATGTGAGATCTCTGGATTGACAACATGTGGGTCTGGATTCTCCATCGCATCCTTTCCTCCCGTTTTACATGATAGCTTGTCAACCGTTTGGAGAGCACACTGGGCGCTTGTTTGTTTGGTTTTTTTCTTGTAGGACAATGTGGTATGAAGAAAGGAACAGAGGGCAGAGAGCCAGGGATATGGGTACTTGTTTATTTGCAGCCAGCTGGACTGTCCCCCAGTGCATGTGACAGGACCCACAGTCCATTTGTACTCTGCTCGAGGAACCAGCTGGTCCTCCATTTGAGCAGGAAGGTTGCACAGTCAGTGCAGGTTACAGTTGTGTGCCTGGATTATCTCGCTACATCGCCACAGTTCCTGTCACCTTTGCTTGGGGAGTCTCAGTTGGGCTGTGTCCTCTAAAGGACAGCTAAATTGTGTTCTGCAGACATGGCTATGGAGTGTCCAAGCCCCCATAGCTGCCTCTGTTATTCCCTAAGTACACAAAGAGGGAAGAGAGGTTGTCTGTGTGCAAGAGCCTTTTATTAATTTACTGAGACATTCAACAAGTCCTCTTCACAACTATCACTGCTTCTGCTAACAATGACTGCCCAGGAGGGCATCAGGATTGCCTTCCCTGGACTCCATCTGACTCTGACTTGGTGCCAGGCCTGGAGAACTGCTTATGCAATAGTCCAGGAAAACACTTGAACCTGTACTTCTGATGTACCCTGGTGTCCTGGTTTCAGATTTGTTAAAAAAAAAAAAAAAAGGTGTGGAAGTGGAGGGGAGTGACTTGATAAAATTTGCATTGAATTTTACGTGTATGCTTGGGTTGCATTTATATTTGTTTGGCTTGGGGAGACTTTGCAGCACTTTAGCTAAATCTGGTTTTAAATCCACTTAAGTTAAACTCCTAGCACAACTTGTGTGTGGAGACCAGGATGAAATCTCATTAATTTTAATAGGATTAAGCATGTTCTTTTGCTGAGTCTTCCCCTCTATCTTTTTTTTCTGTTTGGCTTCTCTGTATAAAAAGCAGGATAAACCTTTCCACTCTTCCTCCTCTTTGTGAAAATGCTTTATGAGTCTCAGAGAAATGTCTCTCTGGTTGCATACAATAATATTTTACACATTTTTTTCCTATGCTTTCAGCTGTAGTCCTACTGCATCCAGGCTTTTATTGGCTTTTGCTTCCCCTAAAGGCACAATAATTCCTGGCAGCAAGAAAACAGTTACAAGTGTTTGCATGGTAAGTTTCTACACTCAAAATCATTATTTTTCCTTTTGCTCTCTCTGGATAGATTTGAAACTGCTGTAAAACAAGTCAATTAGCAGAGAGAAACTCTGTAGAAGTCATCAGGAACTGAGCATGTGCGGATGGGTGAGAGCAAAATTAATCCCTGTTTGTGAACTGTGAATAAATTGAAGAACAGGAAATAAAGGTAGAAGTGTTATGAATGCAAACTGGTTAAAGGGAAATATTTGGGATCTGTCTAAGATTAAGCAAACCATTAATTGGAGAGGAGGCTGTTTCGTGCATTTGTGTTACCTTTTCATTTCCTCATTTCTCAATGTACATCATGCCCTGAATGTCAGTATTGATTATTTTGATTTGTATGTGATTTATGTTATAGGACCACTCCTCTTCCACCTCTCCTTCAGAAAAGACAAACTCCACAGCAGGTATTTCTGGATGTTCCTGAGATGCTCTTAATGGCACACTTAATAAGCACATGCCTTCATAGGAAAAGTAAACTGTCTTGTAGTTATGTACTAAGCTGGATTTCAAGAGACTTGATTTTCATTTCCAGCTCTGACTAGTTCCTATAGCTATATGCAAATGACTCAGTCTTCTCACACCTATAAGATAAGGGAGGGCTGGTCTGTCTTACCTGCACTCCACTCTTTTGAACTGATGCCCTGTTGTTCCGTGGGCTGGTCTGTATTACAAAGGTTGGGCTGATGTCTCAGCCCAACTTTTGTCTCAGCAAAGCTCCTTTCTACCATCAGTCCTTGTGAGGAAACTTTACATCATCAGTGTGTTGTCTTGCTGGCAGTAGCATCTAGATTTAAATTCCTGTATCTAAGTAAAAAAGGAGAACACAGTGGAAAAAAGCTTTCTGGTTTTTTTTCCATACAATAAACAGGAGATTAGCTTATTAAGGGGGCTAAGGAAGGGAGTTTCTGATGGATGAGAAATGCCCAGTGGTATCTTGAAATTCTCCATGTCCAAGCAAAGAGTATTTATTCCCTAGATCATAGAATCATAGAATGGTTAGGTTTGGAAGGGGCCCTAAAGATCATTTAGTTCCAAACCCCCTGCCATGAGCAGTGATACCACCCACTAGACGAGGTTGTTCAGGTCCCTATCCAACCTGGCCTTGAACACTTCCAGGGCCGGGGCATCCACAACTTTTCTGAGCAACCTGTGCCCATGCCTCACCACTGTCACAGCAAAGAATTTCTTCTTAACATCTAATCTGAATCACTCCTTGTCCTTTCACTGTCTACCTCTGTAAAAAGTCACTCTCCCTCTTTCTTATAACCCCTTTTAAGTACTGAAACACCACAATGAGGTCTCCCTGGAGCCTTCTCCAGTCTGAGCAGCCCCAACTCTCTCAACCTGTCTTCACAGGAGAGGTGCTGGACACAGCGCTCCAGGTGAGGTCTCACCAGAGCAAAGTAGAGGGGCAGAATCGCCTCCCTCAACGTGTTGCCACTTTTGATCCTGGGCTTTTGATGCAGCCCAGGATACAGTTGGCTTTCTGGGCGGCAAGCACACATTACTGAGATATGAATTATATCTTCATTTATGATGATTTTTTTTTAAGGGTTTGCCAGCAGTTTATATTTGTGTTGTAGAAATGACAGGATCCATGTGTTCTGGCTGTAGTGGCCATGAGATGAGTTGGCATGTACTGTGGCTGAAATGCATCATGGACAATGTCTGGGGTATAGCTGACTCTAGTGGCCATGCTTTGGTTGGTGAAGCCAGCAAGGGAATGCAATGTCATAAACCTGCCAGCAGTTACATGACTCAGTTTTATGCAGGTCACAGGTTCCACTAGTTCTGCTGGACTTACTCTCATGTATAAAGTTAAACACCTGCTTTGTGTGTTGAATAATTACTGCCAAAGACAGATCTGCTGATGTGGAAACACCTGATAATGTTCTTCAGGGACACGCTGCTTGAGTTTGAGTTTTGAGTTGAGCTGTGATGCAGGTGGCTTTTGTTACCAGCTGACTTGATAAGCAAAAGCAGGAAGTTTTGTTTGCTTGCTATTTAGCAAATAGCTTTTAACTGAATCCCCTATATTCATAGATTCCTGTTTGTTGCTTTTCTCTCATTGGAAAGAGAGCAAGGTTTTCTTGGCTTTGAAAATCTCATAATGTGTAGAAGTTGGATATGTGTTTATGCACTGAAATATATTCAGTGAAGTAGCAGAAGTGGATTTCTGGTGCTTATAACCCATCTTCATAAGGAATATCTGAATGAAAGTGTTTCAAAATAAAATATAAACAGAAAATGCTAGTGAGGTGAGGTGGGGGGTTTTGTGAGTTTTGGTTGCTTTTTTTTTTCCCCTGCAGGTTTTGGCAATATTTGTAAGTAGTTCTTTCTGGGTGTTATGTTCTGCACTTGGCCCTTGACCCCTCTGAAAGTTGAAACAGATGTCATGCAAACTGTGGTAAAGGCAAGCTGTCCCTTGGGAACTGACCAAAACCTGCAAACCCTTCTACTGAATGAGCTCTTAAGTTATTGCATGACTTGTGACAAATTTGTTTGCAGTAAATCAGTAAGATTACACCTGCAGAGGTCCCTTCTGGAGTTAAAATACATGCTTCAAGATTGTGATACACAGCTGACTCAAGCATTCACATTTACAGTTGTTCTGAGTAAGATATCATGAATGCCATCCAGCTGTAACACTGGATTTTATACGGCGATTCACCTGCATAAAAGATGTCTGGATGAAGGACAGAAATTGTAAATATGTGTACAAATTTATTTTGGTATTTTTGTCTCATGTCCAGGAAAGCTTTGCTGGAGAAAAGTGTTTTAAAAAGCAAAGGCTGAAGTGGTGGGCATGCAGTTTAAATGGCTAGAGATTGTTTGATATTTTAGATGTTAATATGCATCTGTATAGGTAGAGAGTTTTCTGTACTTGTATGTCAGTGCTAGAGGATTTGCTAAGTAAGATGTGACATGTAATTCCTCTTAGATGGCTGTCATAAAAAAAAAAAAAGGCAAACAAAACCAACTCCAAAACCCCCCAATGCATGCTGAGAACACCTAATCCTCACTGAATTAGTTTTTCTGCTCCGTTATCTGCTTGGACAGATTTACCTTGTGATATGATTTCAGGCAATTGAAGTGAAAGTGCTTTACTGTAAAATGGCTGAGTGCTGAGACAGAAGCTGGATTTTGTTGGGAAGCTGGTGGAGGCAGAAGCACTGTTTTCTAGGGCAGAGGAAGCCTTTAATTTCTCCACACTAGCAAAGGAAAGTTGTCAAGGTACTTCCACTAAGTGCTGCAAGTACTTGACTGTTCGGTTACATTAGTGAAACATAATGTTTGTGGTAGTTGTAATCTCTCTTGGTTAGATGGTGAGATTCAGGTATCCCCATGGAATAGTTTTGGAGTTCTCCTCAGCGACATCAGCAGAAGACAGAAAGACAGACTTTCTTCTATATCAAGCTCAGAAAGGTTCAGAAGAACCTGCTGCTGCCTGTGCTCTCCCTCTTCCATCAATGAGGGGCTCTTTGGTGCAAAGACATTTGTACTGGAAAAGCTTTGAGGAGCTCAAACCAAACTTATTTTACTTTGACTTATTTAGCAGTTTTTGAGCATCAAGACTCAAAGCTTAAATGAGTTCCCCTGAAACTGAAAAGAGGGAACCTACAACGAAGTAGCTGCTGCCCTGCTGCCCTGTAGGAGACGAGATACCCAGGAGCTGGGCTGAAGCACTTCTGCAGATGCTGCCATGAAGTAAGGAGAGGGAAGGATGTTTTTCCTGTAGGTTCTGATAACCCATAGGTTTACATTCATGTTGGTGAATACTTACTGGCTATGAAGAACCTGCTACAGGGAAGGTCAGCAAGGTTTAGGAAAGCTGCTACTGGATTTGATTTTTATTTTGTTTAGAAAAAATAGACTTGGCTAAGCTTCCCCACCCTGCCCTGTGATTTCCATGCCTTTCAAGCTGTCAAAATCACAAAGCAAGGAGGCATGCACCAACAAACCTTATTTGGTATCACTATAAGTGTGTTCCTTGCTTGAAGACTTTAGGAAGAATCTCTTGATTTGTGCTATGTATTTGTGATTTATGTATAGTGAAAAGACCCTCAGTATCATATTGTATTGTGATAAGATAAGCTGGAGTGTCTTTTTGCTGCATCTTACCTGGGAGATCCTTGGTATGAAGCTACCTTTGTTTTTTAACATGAGTTGTTCTCTTAAAAAGAAGAAACCTCCTACAATCTAGTAGCCTTCAGGATGTTTTTCTTGTGAGGATAAGGGAAGGTGGAGGCACATATCTTTTGATTAATTTTTTTTTTTTAATTTGTATTTATTCTCTGTATTTCAGAATATGCACAAAGATCCTATTTCCTTGCAGAAAGGAGAAACAGCCAAGAATGCTTTTCTTTCTTCAAGTTCTTTTAGCGCTGAGCAGAAGTTTCCTTTCAGTCATTGCACTGGGACCATGTTTGGCTGTTTCCAGGCTGCCTGAACTTTCTTTTCAGTTTCTGAGCTCCCCACAGTACTGCCTGATGCTTTTGTAACATAAGGTGCCATCTCTGCTGTGTGTAACCCTGCTGAAAACCGTGCAGAGGCTTAAATTCCTGAGGAAAGTTGCAGAACCTTGTGTTCTGGATGGAGATGGGTCCTCTGTTTCTACGGACCTAAAATTAGTGTTATGGCGACATGAACCCATAGAGGAGCATAATGATTTCTCAAAAATATCTGGAGTGAAGGATGGCATTTCAGTGAAATTTAACTTGATCTGTATTGCCAGGAATTTGCTGATTGTGGTAAAATTCTGCAGGGCAGGAGGTGGGTGGGTGACCAAACTTCAACATGTTGGCAGTTTTACTTGCTCCAAAAGTAACACTTGGTTACTTGTACCTTCAGGCTGAAGTTGCTGCTTGTTTAAGTCTCTGTTAGCTCCAGACTTGTCAGTTTTGAATTTAATAGCACCTCAGGCACAATTTATTCCTGTGCATGTGCACTGTGCTGGTTCTAGCTTCTAA